TATATATATAAATACTAATATTTCAGTATATATAATGATCGAACATGATAAATATTTATTTTATATAGCAATAATTTATAATAAAAAAATTCAACATACAATTTTAGATTTATAATATAAAAATTATTTTATAATACAAGATTACTTTTAATTATTTATTCTTTTTCTAAAAGCAATTATTGATATTTCTTAATAAAATATCAAAATTAAATTTTAAAAATAAAAAGATGAATTGAAAGAGATGGGAAAAAAAATCTAAAAACACTCTTAATAAATAAAATCAACTAAAAATACATTAATTTAAGAATAATTTTAAAAACATTCTCATTCAAAATAACTATTCTAATTTATATATATACATGGATCGAGGAAATTTACTAAAAGTTAGTGTTGCTTACTAGTCTATATAATTATTTTTTGAAATTATATTTTTGACCATAAAAAATTAAAATTTACATAATATAACATCTTTTTCCAATACTTAATTAATTATCGAGAGCATTTTCCTTGCTTGTCCTATTTTTTCTTTGAGCAAAGTTGTACATAAAAACTTAGAAAACAGAAAGTTTACTAACAAGTTAGTAAGACATAGTTAGTAGATAACTATTTCTTTTAAATATTATTGAAACATCTCTATATATGGAAGGAAAGAAAGAAAAGAGAAAATGTGAGAAATTGTGTTACAGTTTAAAAGACCAAAGTGTTCATGAAATAAAAATACAGAGCAGAATGATTAAGTTATCTGTTAAATGGTTTCAAATTGAAGAGAAGAAATTTTGAGTGAAATCTACATGTTCTTAATTCGTTCTCTCCAAGTTATCCCTTAAATGTTTTCCACTCTGTGAAATCAAACGGAATGGTAACTGTGTTATAAATGATTTGTTATTACAAATCTTGATTTGTTCACATTATATACATCCTTTTCTTTTTCATTACACCTATGTTTTTTTCCTTTTGTTTCTTTTATCCCTCATTTATTTTACGAAGCATGTACACAGAATGTAAAAATTATTTTTTTTATCCACAAACCACCATCAACAGAATTTTTTAGGTGAACAAGATATTTTTTTTCTTTTATGCAATACACCTGAAACAATTCATTCTGAACTCTGGCTTGTTAATTAAATTCCAACTCATGATGTGAACTGTATTCAATGTAGTTTGGAATTATGCTGTACTGAAATGGTTTGACTGTAATTTACAGCAAGAACTTTGTGGCTCTAACCTTTAGGCATGTGCAGTGTAGCAGTATTAGTTTTGTAACATCTCAGCATTTCTTTACGTGGATTGAACCCATTATAGCAATATTAAAAGGACTATTTATGCAACCATCTTTGGCCAAGAGAGAGGGATGGCCCCCACTCATCTGATGTTAGAAGTTGATGACCAAGTTGTCAATCACAAACACTGAATCTGTTTCAGGATATAACATCTCTGCTATTTTGAGAAAAGACAACGTAAGTTACAACATCTATATTTGCACATGTGTCAGATGAACAGGATATTAGACCTTCCATCACATGAACCATTTAATGCAACACACACCAGTTTTCAATCGGTTATGTTGCTTTGAATTCCTCACTACTTTCCTTGCTTATGGAATCAAGTGATAAGAAAGAAGGGAAAAAGGATTTGATAATCTAAGACAAAGGCCTCAAAATAGAAAGCAGTTAATGACCTTTCCACTTTTCTCTTCATCAAATTTTGGGATTGCTATATGCAACCAAATACTATTGGCTGTTAAACTCGTATATTCGATCCTTATATTCTTCCATGCTGGCTATATGTGTGTATCAAAGTGAAAAACTTTTCACTACGAATCAATGACATTAACTTCATCACCCAAAAGGGGAAATTCTACCGACACAAATTACCTTTAAATCTTTACCAAAAGAGAGAGATTCAAACTGGTCGAAGTTGAAATTCTAGCATTGAAATAGATCACTCAAGTACGTACTGTACTTGTTACATATTTATTACAAACTATACATGAACTTTGTGGAAAAAAATGAGATGAAACTAAAATAAGGTAAAAAGCCTCATCATCCTTAGTTTTAAAAAAACGACCATCCACAAAAACTCTGGTCATCGGAGAGGGCTCTATATCTGTGTGCTATATTTTGTTTTTGGGTGTGTAACTGTGTATTTTTACAAGATACTGTTATTTTGTGTATACAACAACAAAATTCCTGAGACTAATTAAAAGAAATCATCACTAGCTAGGTAGTCATCACGTCATGTCATGTCATGTCCTTTTGATTTAGCATTTTAGAATTGGGAAATGCAACGTCTATGACAAGCTGTAGTGCGTTGTTTCTTTTGCTTAGTCTCATTCTTCCAAACTTGGCCAATATCTTGAGCAATTTTCACAGCATCAGAAGAAGCACCAGAGAGCCCTCTCTTTGTGAACCCCACAGCATAAAGCCCTGCATTTCCCTTCCAACCATGAGGAAATGGCATTTTTGGGTATCCACTCTTTGAGAAAAATTCACCTTCCTGCACATATATTAACCCAAACAACATTAATTCACTGATACAAAAAAATTACTATTAAATTTCGCTGATGAAAAGAAGCTTCTAAAACAAAAAGAAAAAAGTTAAAAAGGACAAAATCAATCTGCCCCGAAACGCTTTCTGAACTGACAATTAACAGTTTTCTATTAAAAGAAAGTAACTGATCTAGAACATATTCTCACCTGAAGCCAAGAAGGGACGTTGCTGCGGTAACCGGTTGCAAGCACCACTGCATCAATATCGATCTTTTCACCATTAACAAACTCAACTTCACCATTGTTGAACCTCTTGATCCCTGGTACCACTTCTATTTCACCGGATCTAATCTTCTCCAAGGCACCAATGTCCAAAACCGGGGTCTTCCCCTTTGTGTTCTTCAGCTCCAAAGGACCCTTTGAAGGCCTTTTCAGCCCCAACTTCTCTATGTTCCCCAAAACAAACCAAGCCAAGATCAAGAGAATCTTGTCCACAAGCCATAGTGGCAGGCCACGCCGCAGACTC